AAAATTAAAAAATCATCTGCGGATTCTCCAAAAGGAGTATCTCTTTGAGAACGGGAACAAATTATTTACAGCGTCAAATGTAATTAGTCTTCGATAAATAGTCAAGAAACAATACAATCGGCTTATTTTACTACGGGATAACATTAAATATAAGAACGGAACTAATGTCAACTGGCGTTTTAACTGCTATGAAGTTGGATACAAACCCTTGCGCCGTAAAATGTTTGATTAATTAATTACATTACATGTATTAAATTATTTCAGGTGATCTAAGTGTGTAAAAATGTGAAAAAAATTTACATCTGTGAGATCATTCATCAAGGGTTCTCCTCTGTTTTTATGTCTATAAACCTCCATCTCTTCATATATATCCAGTTTCTTCGATTTTTTAAGATTATGTAGTAATTGTACTGAGTCTTACTGTATTGTATGTCCGTTGTTGTTGGTGTGTTTGTAAACTGAAGAGTTGTCGTTATTTTTGTGCTCATTCAGCCTAGTTCTTATACTTCGTCCTGTCTGACCTATGTATGTATGGTCGCAATCAGCACAGCTTATTTTATAAACACCGCTTTTTTGCTCCTTCTTTATCCTGTGTTTGCATATGATTAAACTGTTTTTTAGTTTCAGATTATCCCTGTAAACGATGTCTATATTAAACTCTCTTAACTTTCCTCGAACAATATCATAGGACTTATTATAGTTCACTGAGATAAATTTCCGTTTCTCTTTAAAGTGTGGATAAATTATTTGTATTATGTTCCTATTCTGTATTTCCTTATTATATAGGTTTTGGACAAAATCTACCCTGTATCCATTATTTAAGGCCAATTTCAATATTTATTTTATTTCTTCTGCAAAGTTGTGTAGCGAAAGAGGTGTGTTGGTCAATCTGTTAAGGAGAAAACGGAATGCAGCTTCGTTGTGAGTAGTATAGAAATGAGAGTTCTGGACCGGAACTTAATCCCCCTATCCCCTGTGACGTAACGCTGTCAATGTTATAAGTATAGGAAGGGGTGCCAACCTAAATCTGGAGAAAAAAAGTAACTAGATTTAGGTTGGTACTAAACCGGAAGCCCTGTGACGTCACGCTGCAATGTTGTAGGGGTGCTATTATTAATACTATGGTGAACCCAAGCTAATGTGTCAATATTAGCATATCATTTGGCGAAAGAACCAATTTATTTTGTAACATAGTAAAAATTATATGATAAAAACGCCTAAACGATAATTGCTTTCTAAACAAAACGGCGCGCGTATAGCTATGTGCGTTCTAAATCAAAATCCCATAAGATTTAACATAGGGGTCCGAAATCACATTTTATCCCCACCACTACCTCCTTTCAAGGTTCTGGCCACGCCCACATTTTGAATTCAACCAATCAGAGCGCAGCATTCTCCAGGAACCCTCTTTTTGGCGGGAAATTTGAATGAGGCTATCTAGATCGGCGAGCCGTATCACGATGTCATCATCGTCGATACATGCGAAGGCAAAACGTTAATTACATACCATTTATACACCTCTAATTCAGATATGTTCTTCTTCTTAAAATAATTAATTTAGATATGTTCTTCTACAATAAATTTTGTTAAGATTTTTTTACAAAATCGATAAAAAAATTTTACTTATTTAATTAATTTAAAATTTATTTAATTTAAACATTTTTACTTTATAATGTTTTTTTTTTTACATTGATTTACTTTCTAAGGTTTTTTACATTTATTTACCTTCTAACGTTTTTTATATTCATTTATGTTCTAACGTTTTCACAAAGTCGATGAGATGCGCTGGATTTCCTTTTCCAACATCTTTTACTCTCTTGAATATTAAGCTCATACCTCTTAGCTCAGTAATTTCACCATCCGTAATCACCTCCGCGATGCGTTTAGGCAAAAATACGGAGAATCCATCCTCCAAAATCTACGACAACTGATGGCCATGCGCATGATGTAATCCGCTTCGCAGACTTAATCACATACATTTTATTCACCTCTAATTCGGATATGTTCTTCTTCGGGGAAAATTGATACTGACCTAATTGACTTAACCGTGACATACTAATAGATTTNTAACATAGTAAAAATTATGTGATAAAAACGCCTAAACGATAATTGCTTTCTAAACAAAACGGCGCGCGTATAGCTATGTGCGTTCTAAATCAAAATCCCATAAGATTTAACATAGGGGTCCGAAATCACATTTTATCCCCACCACTACCTCCTTTCAAGGTTCTGGCCACGCCCACATTTTGAATTCAACCAATCAGAGCGCAGCATTCTCCAGGAACCCTCTTTTTGGCGGGAAATTTGAATGAGGCTATCTAGATCGGCGAGCCGTATCACGATGTCATCATCGTCGATACATGCGAAGGCAAAACGTTAATTACATACCATTTATACACCTCTAATTCAGATATGTTCTTCTTCTTAAAAAAATTAATTTAGATATGTTCTTCTACAATAAATTTTGTTAAGATTTTTTTACAAAATCGATAAAAATATTTTACTTATTTAATTAATTTAAAATTTATTTAATTTAAACATTTTTACTTTATAATGTTTTTTTTTTACATTTATTTACTTTCTAATTTTTTTTTACATTTATTTACCTTCTAACGTTTTTTATATTCATTTATGTTCTAACGTTTTTACAAAGTCGATGAGATGCGCTGGATTTCCTTTTCCAACATCTTTTACTCTCTTGAATATTAAGCTCATACCTCCTAGCTCAGTAATTTCACCATCCGTAATCACCTCCGCGATGCGTTTAGGTAAAAATACGGAGAATCCATCCTCCAAAATCTACGATAACTGACGGCCATGCGCATGATGTAATCCGCTTCGCAGACTTAATCACATACATTTTATTCACCTCTAATTCGGATATGTTCTTCTTCGGGGAAAATTGATACTGACCTAATTGACTTAACCGTGACATACCAATAGATTTTATAACGTGAGCGAGCGATGTGAGTAGTAATAGAAGGTAGTAACTGAGTTCCATATGAAAATTTTAACCGTTTATATACCATCGAGAAAAACCTTGAAAAATTTTAGTATGCGAGTTGCGCGGTGATCAACAACAACTTAAACGTTTATACGCAATTAAACAAATATAAAATTTAATAATCGATAAAATTAACAAATATAGTATTTGCATTACGATACACATATCAGTAGTTATAATTGTAATAGCAATCGTTAATATATTCAAAATCGGTTAAATTAATATCACCATCAATAATTAATTTAGCTGATTCGCTATTGGGAAAGTATCCATTATCTTTTAAGAAATCTTTAAATTTTTGATGATTTTCAAAGTCATCATCACTACCAACATACAGAATATCACCCTTTCGATAAACTCTCCATATATTATTATCAAATTCACAAAACTGTACAAATTGTGAATCGTTCATTTTATCACCGTCGAAGTCTTCTATTCCTAGAAGTACGAAATCGAGCTGGACAATTTCCTCTGGGAAATTTGCGTTTAAGCACTGCTTCAAACGAAGACGGAAGTCGGTCCAATACATTATGACGGTGATATGAACACTTCAATTTTTAATGGACAACTGAGGTAAATATGATTTAAATTTACAATTAAATAATAAACTGAGCCACAAAAGATTTAAAACACATTTTAGTACAAGATTATTTGCATATTTTTATGTTAGCGTTAACGCAATTTAAAATAAAGTTGTTATTTAATACAAATAATAATATATTATGTATTTTATTTTCTTGAATTTCGAACACTTCGATTTATGTAACTATGCTAATAGAAATTTAAAATACATTTTTATTGCAAGGTTATTCGCATATTTTAAAGTTGTTTATGTAAGTTAGCGTTATCTCATCAATCACAAACCAATGTAATTTGCGTTTTAATTTTATTTTCTTGAATCTACATGACACATTGATTTATGTACATAGAAATTTAAAATGCATTTTTATTGCAAGGTTAGTTATATATTTTAAAGTTTCTTACGTAAGTCAACGTTATTTACGATATGTTAATTTCAAATTAGCTTATTCTAAACATTGATTATAAAATGACATACATATGTAACAGATGATGTGGCTTGAGGTAATTGATTAGTAGGTGTACTCGATTCTGGAAATATGTGCTCTCTTTCAAAATTTAAATACATTTTAATTACGTCGTTAGTATTACTCATCAATTGTAATGGTCGTTTTTTTAAGTAATGAAACATAGAAGCATTAGATTTAATAAATTCAAATGTTATTTGGAAAAATTTAGGTGTATATAGATTATTAAAATTACTGAGATATTCATTAAAAATATTATATGCTTCAGTTGCTAAAGGTCTATGTTCGTTTTGTGTATGCTTTGATTTTGTTTGATCTTTAAAAAATAATAATAAATGTACATGATAACCTCGAACTGAACTGTGTTCTAATATAGAGATAAATTGACAATTTAAATCACTTAAATGTTCTAAATGAACACTACTTAAGCGTTCGTCGAAATGTTTTAACAATGACGCGGTGTCCTGCGTGAGCGACGAATACGACGCGACGTAATGCGACGCAACACGACGCGACGTAATGCGACGCGATGCTACACGCGACAAATGTCCTACGTGATTTTGGTCATTACTTCTCGAATCATGGAGAAGTACAGCACAATTTTGCTTGAAAGTTCATATTTAAAGTACAGACTTTTAAAAAAATATCGTAAAAAGTACAGAAAGAAAACAAATATAGTATTTTTACAAAGAAACACATTTGGCGAGTTCCATCATTTATATCCAAAATTAAGAAACGATTCTAAAATGTTTAAACAATATTGTGGAGTGTTACCTTCTACTTTCGATTACATTATTGCTGGTATTAAGTCTGAATTTCAATTAAAAACAACAAATTTTCAAAAACCTATTTCTATTGAAGAAAGATTACTGTTGACATTGCGGTGAGTACATAGAAATGAAACTACATAATATTGTATTATTGAAAATATTTTAATTATTATGAAATTATCACTGAGATGAATCACCAGAAGTGAAGTAACTCATCGTTGAAGATTCTGTGTTTGATGGGGTATTCAGTTTTGATATTTCGTTGATGAGCATCTCCTGAACCTGAGTCCGAAATAATAATTTATTCAGAGATGGTAGCTTTTTCATATACGGCATTATAGACTTGAACCAGTTCAAGTCGTCGTCGACTTCATTTAAATCTTTCTTCATTAGGTCTATTTTTTCTCGTTCGAGTGTTATTAAAATTTCTTCAATACTTTTTGCTGCACTTTCTTGTACCTTTTGGTTAGGCAACGCTCGCGATGGGGTATGCAACGATCCAGGTGTCGAGGTATCATATCGTATCTGTGCCGAAATAGCATTTTGTGCAGTTGCAGCATCAGTCGTAGGGCCATCAATTGTTGCCAAATTGGTATCATCTGTATTGAACTGCGATTCATCGGTTTGTGTATTGTATGATGTTTGCTCAGAAAGAATAGACATCATTGTATCATCATCGATAATGTCGCTTTCATCTAATATTTCATTTTGAATATTACTAGTAGTTTTACGAGGTTTCAAAATTGTCTTTAAAAATTGCATTGATTCAAAATGTGGCCAATCGCCTTGATATTGACCATTTTGATCTGCATCCGAACCCGATCTTGGCTTTTCTACTTTTTTAAGCTCTCTGTTATAGGAATCTCTTAAATTCTTCCACTTCTTTTTCACATCATCAGCTGAAATTGAAACAATATTATTATTTACAGATATTTGGTTACTGGAACACCATATAGAAAGTTATCATTCAATTTCCGAATATCAAAAACTGCCATTTCAAACATAGTGAAAGAAGTGTGTACTGCAATTTGGAAGACTTTAGTAATAAAACATATGCCTATACCTACAACTGAAATGTGGAAAAGTATCGCAAAAAAAATTCTGGGAGAAATGGCAATTTCCTAATTGTATTGGTAGCCTTGATGGCAAACACATACGTATTAAGAAACCAAAAAAATCTGGTTCTATGTACTACAATTATAAGGGATTTTTCTCTATTGTATTACTAGCCTTAACTGATGCTAACTATAAATTTATAATGGTTGATATTGGTGCCTATGGAAAAGATAACGACGCTGGAGTTTTTCACGCGTGTACTTTACGACAAGCAATAGAACATAAAAAATTACAAATACCGGAACCCGACTTTTTACCAAATACCCTCATTAAAGCGCCTTTTGTGTTTGTGGGTGATGCTGCATTCCCATTAAAAACATACCTTCTGAAGCCTTATGCACAAAAAAATGTCAGCGAGGGAGATATTAAAGAGCGGTTCAACTATAGATTGTCTCGAGCGAGGATGGTCGTTGAGTGTTCTTTTGGTTCAATAGCGTCAAGATTTGGATTACTTAATAGGCCAATTGAGACAGATATTGAAAATACAATTAACACTATAAAAGCTATAACTCTACTTCACAATATAATACGTGATCTTGAGAGTAATTGCGAAAATTTGACGTCAACTTCGTCACCTCATCTTCAACCATCAAGAAGATATAATGCCTCAAGTCAAGCAGCCATACATACAAGAGAGACATTCGCGAAATATTTTAATGAACATTGAAGGTTTCATATTATTAAATTATTTCGATGTCTCTATAAAATATATTTTATCTTCCAATATCAAGTATCCATTCGCTTCTTTAGGCTATTCTGCCAATATATTACTATATTAAATTACTAAACTTGATAATAATTTAAATAAAACTTACCTGTGCATTCTAATGCTTCGGCAACATTCTTCCAACTTCTTTGTATTAATAAACGATTCCTATAATGTTTATGTTTTTTGTCCCACAACAATCTTTGCTCACGAACTGCGGCGATCAACGCTTCTGAATCAACCATTACGTAGTTCGTGGTGTCGCATCTGGTCGCCCTCAAAACAAGTCCGCGTTACGTCGCGCTCGCCGCTGACGGTCATATAGGCCGCAAGTAGGGTATGCCGTTGAGTTGATCGCGTTCGTCGCTCACGCAGGACACCACGTGAATGTATTGCTGCTTCTGTACTGCTTCATGTGTGAACTTAAATCGCTAGTAAATTATATAACTATAAGCTACTTAATTATTATACCGTTTTGTTAATTTTTTTGCATCTATTGCAGATAATTTAGGAAACTTTAGATTATGCAGATCATCCAACTCCGGAGGAATATAACTATATTGTCCATACTCGGCATCAAGAATAATAATGCTAAATTCAGGAATTGTAGGAGGATAGAGAGAAGGATTCCTCCTTCAGTGAATATCTGCTCCGACATACCTGAAGCAATTAATATAATTTACGACGTTTTGATTGAGACTCGTCGTTATTGAATGATTAAAATTTTTGGTTTTCTGAAATATCAACTTGCTCTTCTAACGTTTTTATTTCTACATCATTAGCAAATCTAATTCGCATTAAATTTTGAATGTGTTCATTAATTTCGGTTCTAATTTACTGACATTTCTGTCATGGGTGACAAATTTTCTTGACATATTATAACCCTGCCAGGACGACTAAAGTCGGAGTGGTATTACTACCACAATATGGCTTGTTCAGCCACTAGGCTTATTCAGCCTTTCGACGCTCTTCCCAATTTTGCAGCATAAGCAGTTGTGGCCTAAGATAATCATTAGGCGCTGCATAGCCATTAATCAAAGCGGTGTTGGGATCCTCAATAAATCGGCGTCTCATTTCCACTTCAGTAAGGAACTCGTCAAGTCCACAGCGTAAAACAATTGCTGCTCTAGCCGCAGTTGAGCTAATCTCACGCGTAGAATAGTATCGCGTGGATATCATTGGATCTTCGAACAATGGAAAACGAAGGATATGTTGTTCAGATCCTAGTCCCGAACTTATAAGGAAATGGTCTACAGTTAATTTCTGTTCTTTCGCCGCTGCATTGATTTCAGTAAAGGTCATCCATTCCGCTGGTGAAGTGCGTATTGGCCATGATCGTACTGTAGCTGCAGTGAAGCGATTGTTATCTCCGAAGACTATATCAAGAAGGATTAAGCCCAGACATCTAACTTGCGGTTGATCGGCATGTGGTATATCAATACCATCGCCTCCTGCCCTATGACGTTGAATGTATTTGTGCAGTTCTTTATAGCTAGCACTCATTAGATTTTGAACATTCACATCTTCAGCTTCAGAAACTGAAAGCACTGGAATGCGTATTACATTGAAATTCAAGACGTTTAATTTAACCTCCTCCCTCACTACATATCCTGGAGTTTCCATAGCCAACCCTAGCACCCATGGGAGGAAGACGACTCATTACCATCTTCCCCACATTCCGCTAAGAAAAAAGAAAAATTAATAATAATAATAATAATATTGTAAAGCAAAAGAAAAAACAGACTTACAATCAACCTCCTCCATCGAATTAAATAACACCCCTGGTGGAGACGGGGATCGGGGGCTATCATAAACACCCACTATGAAAAAATAGTGAGAAAATAAAATAATACTAGAAAGCAAAAGAAAAAATTACGACTTACAATCACGCATCTCCATCTCATCGATAATCCTCCTAATGTTGGAGGAGGATGAAGAGTAGGAGGAGGAGGAGGAAGACGACTCATTACCATCTTCCACTAAGAAAAAAAGAAAATAGTGAGAAAATAAATATATAGATGATATATTTTGCAAAACTTACCTACAAGCACTTCCACTTCGAATTTATATTTTCGGATGGTCATTGTACTATCCGAATTTTCTCTAACATGTAGTAAATACTCACGATCCATTATTTCTCTTTAATTTACTTTAACAANTGGAACACCATATAGAAAGTTATCATTCAATTTCCGAATATCAAAAACTGCCATTTCAAACATAGTGAAAGAAGTGTGTACTGCAATTTGGAAGACTTTAGTAATAAAACATATGCCTATACCTACAACTGAAATGTGGAAAAGTATTGCAAAAAAATTCTGGGAGAAATGCCAATTTCCTAATTGCATTGGTAGCCTTGATGGCAAACACATACGTATTAAGAAACCAAAAAAATCTGGTTCTATGTACTACAATTATAGGGGATTTTTCTCTATTGTATTACTAGCCTTAACTGATGCTAACTGTTCAGGCAACCCATTGTACCGACCGGTTTTTGAAATAATTTTATATATAAACTTTTGAGAGGGGGCGCTCGGTCTCTTGCGACTCGACCACCACCACGTGTGTATCGTGCGTTAAATTAATCAATGTGCGTAAAACTAAAATTCAAAGTATTGTGATAAGGAAGGGAAAAATGGGGAAGGAAATATAAGTAAGAATAGATTTTATTATTTTATTCTTTTATTTAAACACAAATCGCCATCCAAAACCTCCACCTTTTTTTATCTGAGCACGGTTACTACCGGATTGTTCATTGGTCCTTCGAGCCGGATCGGCAATTTGTGATATTGTTTCTCCGGCTTTTTAAAGAGCGTGTTTCTGCGGTATTTTCTATGCCAATTGATCTCCTTTACAAATTCGTTTCGTTTTTTGGTGTTATCGCCGTTTTTATCTGTGACCTCGTGCAACGTGGTAAACGGGTTTTGTTCGCTGTCGTAAGGGCGACATTTACTCAATCCCCCAGTGGAATTACCTGCAATTATTTTTTATTATTTACGGTTTATAATAATTATTTAGTATTAATAATTATTTTAAGTTTTCTTTTGAATTAATTTTTGGTTTGGGTCGTTACCAGTTTTTCTTTCTTTTCTTTTTTTTCTCGGTCTTTACCGGTTACATTTATTTTTTTGTTGTTTTCTGCAACAGATGGTCTTTACTTTTTAGTAAAATCTTGGTCTTTTACTTCCCCTTGGAAGCATTATTATTTTTACATCATACTATATCTATTATTCTCCTTGACCATTCCTTTCTCCCTTGAGACGTGATGGCAGAGGAATTAGACAAATTATTAATGCGGCGCCAGGTATTTGAAAATCGGCTCATTGAGTCAATGAACCTGGGTAAGGCTGTAAAAGACGATCCTGTAGAACGTTTAATATTTATCGCTCAAGCACAAGAAGCAGATACTTCATATGATGATTTCAAAACAATTCACAATCAGATCATTGGGTTAATTTCGGAGGAAGCGTTCGATGAGCAAGATACCATTCGAAAACGAGTGGATATGGCATACTTTACTATTAAGGCTCTAATCCACTCTTCTACGTTTACTACTACAAGTCCAACNGTCACCTCATCTTCAACCATCAAGAAGATATAATGCCTCAAGTCAAGCAGCCATACATACAAGAGAGACATTCGCGAAATATTTTAATGAACATTGAAGGTTTCATATTATTAAATTATTTCGATGTCTCTATAAAATATATTTTATCTTCCAATATCAAGTATCCATTCGCTTCTTTAGGCTATTCTGCCAATATATTACTATATTAAATTACTAAACTTGATAATAATTTAAATAAAACTTACCTGTGCATTCTAATGCTTCGGCAACATTCTTCCAACTTCTTTGTATTAATAAACGATTCCTATAATGTTTATGTTTTTTTGTCCCACAACAATCTTTGCTCACGCACTGCGGCGATCAACGCTTCTGAATCAACCATTACGTAGTTCGTGGTGTCGCATCTGGTCACCCTCAAAACAAGTCCGCGTTACGTCGCGTCTCGCCGCTGACTGTCATATAGGCCGCAAGTAGGGTATGCCGTTGAGTTGATCGCGTTCGTCGCGTTCGCAGCGTCGCGTCGCGTCGCGTTCGTCACTCACGCAGGACACCACGTTATAATGAAACAAATACATTGTAGTGTTGTGACATCATCTAGACATGAGGTCTGTCTATTAGTCAATCAGTCTTTTTTTTTGAGATTTTCCATCATTTGGTCTTGAATTGTATTCAATACAATTTGTCTTCATTTTTATGAATTTATTTCTTTTATAACCAGTGATATTCTATTATTTTTATTTTTACACTACATTATATGGTAATGATTTAAAGTCCGTTAAGTGTACTTGGTAATCAGCTTTTTACAGCTGTGCTATGGGTACATGAGCGTTTTATCAAGAATAATAGCGATGAGATGGGATTTATAAATCTCTCTTACTACTTAAATACATTATTCTTTATTAAACGCACGTGTCCGTGCAAATTGTATTTATACTTTTGCCGCTCCGCCCAGCTCTGTAGCATCAGCAGTTGCGCACGTAGGTATGTGTCTGGCCTATCGTCGTCACTCCTGAAGGCTGCGTCAGGATTGCAACTGAAGCGTTTTCTCATTCCTTCAGCATTTAAGAATTCGTCTAATCCTGATCGCAATACAAGGGCTGTTAATAAAAAAGTGATTTTTGCTCATATTGTTTAAAAATTTGTCGTTGGTTATCTGTTGTTGCTGTGTGTAATACACAGAATGTTTGGCAATCAACTCGCGGTCGCAAAGTGATAACTTTTGTCGATCTGCACGATCGAAATTATTTTGTCTGATAAAACATATAATTAACGCTTGGAAAACTTGTGTATAACGAAATGCAGTAAGTGACATCTTATTTATTCATGGAGTATTCAAAATGTTTAATACGATTTGTACAAAATGTTACAACAAAAATATCGCATTTTACATTATTTAATAACAAAGGGAAAATAAATTTAAATTTAATAAAAATTGGCACAAATTATTTGTCGTAGTATTCTTTAAAGTGATCAATACATGCTGCATCGCAAACATGGTATTTAAAGACGGTTTCTCTTCGAATAGACCTAGATAAGCATGCAGTTCATCGCTTGGGCGTTCTATTTCCTCTATTTAGAAAGCAGAGCCGCGTTAAAACATGTTGCCGCCCTAGGCATTTTTTTTGCCGCCCCTAATATATAAATAAAAATTGGTATGCAACAGTAAACTTTTATTAGCAACAAAAATGTCAAACTCTGGAAACAAAAACATGTAACATCTGATAATATACAAAAAATAAAAAACAAAATAAACCACTTTTCAACTAAAGAAGAAAATAAATTATACAAAATCTACAAAAAAATAAATAATATTATATTCTAAAAGGTTTCTTCCTTGACTTTTCTTTGGCAAAATCATTTATAACTTCATCATAAAGGTACGTTTTCGTAAGGACAAATCCGGCCCGACATGTTTGTTGGGCGACAAGTTGGCAAAATTGACGGGTATTTACGTAGCTACTTGTCAGCAACCGACATGTCGTGGAAACGATCTGAAAATCGAACTCTGCAGTTAGCATCATCAAGATGGCAGACGATCAAGTAAAACAAGTAGTGTCAGCTTTCGTGGTGTTGGCAGAAAATCTTGCAATAGAGTTATTAAAACCCCTCCAATTAGGTGCATATAGCTCCTTAGTGACTGATCTTTGCTTGCAAAGTGGATACGAAAATTTCGTTCGTATGTCTCATACCGAGTTTGAAGAGCTACTTCACCTAATTGCTCCTCTTATTATCAAAAATGGAAGAACTAGGAACGATAACGTATCTCCAGGGGAACAATTAGCAGTAACTTTACGGTTCTTAGCTACGGGTGATAGCTATGGAAGTTTGATGTATCACCATAGAATATTAAAGACTAAGTTGTCCCAAATAATTCCGAATGTGTGTAAAGCAATCGTTCAAGTTCTACGTGAAGAAATTAAAGTAAGTATTATGCTTTATTTATTTTATTATAATAAATATATGATACATTATAAGAGATTAAAACATATCGGAATTAATTTTCCGTAAAAAAATCGATAGATTGAGTAGAGGAAGAAGACGCTAAGTCATGTGGGTTAGAAGTATGCACTGGGGTAGGTGGGTTCGAATACGGCATTAGGGTGGGTGGGTTAGAAGAATACACTGGAGTGGGTAGATTAAAATAATGCACTGGGCTGGACGGATTAGAAGAATGCACTGGGGTAGGTGGGTTCGAATACGGCATTAGGGTGGGTGGGTTAGAAGAATACACTGGAGTGGGTAGATTAAAATAATGCACTGGGCTGGACGGATTAGAAGAATGCACTGGGGTAGGTGGGTTCGAATACAGTATTGGGGTGGGTTGATTAGAGCACTGGAGGTTGAGTATTTGAGTGCGCCACTTCTGCTCGGTAGATAATATTATTTATTTCATGTCGGCCCCAATTTTGTATGTAAGTATCGTTCAAAGTATGCAAGGAGTGGGCTAAGTAATCTCCATAACTTGAGAAAATGTCCTTTTTAATATTATTGTTACTGACGGTTTTCATGACTTTATATGCATCTTGCACTTGATCCACTAATACTGATATATTTGTTGGTGCTGCACGTTTGCGGATGTTTTTGTCACGCGACTGCAATGCCTGTGGTTCGTGCGATATTTCTTTTGCTGGTTGTATCGGAGTTTCTTGTGTTTCGGAATCCAAATCGTCATCCATTTCCCGAAATAATTACAAATTATTGATTGAATTAATTTAAAGACTTTGTTTTAGATCCCCCGAAATAAAGAAACGTAGCAGCCAATTTTGAATCGAGATGGAACTATCCTAATTGCATTGGCGCCCTGGATTGCAAACACATGCATATTCAGGCACCAAACAACACAGGAAGCCTTTATTTCACTTATAAACATAATTTTTAAATTTAATATTTACTTAAAATAAAATCAATGTTTCTTGTTTATGTATCTCTTCAACATTTTTAATTAGACCGTATGATTTAATACTAGGACATCCCAATAGACAAGGTGCTTGGAAGTTTACAATTTGAAATTCTACCATATCTTCTGTTTCATCAATTTTACACTGAACTCGAGTTGTGCCATAAATTTTTATTTCCGATCCATTATAGTTTCTTAATTTTATTTTCGACTTTTTAATGTTTACCTTTATTCGTTTGGCTAGTGTCTACCTTGCATCTGATCTCATTTCCTTTTATTTTGACTGTTTTATACCACTCCTTTTTATTTTTTATATTATTTACACAATAAATTTCTCCAACAAATAGCTTTTCTTTTTCTCCATCATTTTCATTTTCTTTAGTATCAATCATATTTACTCTTTTATTGCGACACATTTTTGAAAAGTTTTTACATGTATTGCATATTTTATTAAATGCTGGGCAGTTACGATATTCATGTTTGAATCCACACTTACCATATGGTTTTTCTTTTTCTTTATTGTTTTTTCTTTCATTTTGTTTTTGACTCTTATCGAAATGTTTTTTCTTAAAATCTTTATTTTCTTTTACAGTATGTACAGGGTGGGCAAATTTAGGTGTTATTATAGGCTATCTCAGAAACTATAAGAGATACGAAAAAAGTAGGTGCCATGTCCCGGTCTCTTTTTTCGAGACTAACCCAATCCCGCAAACACCAAACCTCTATCTTCTTTTGTTTTTAAGTTATAGCCAAAAAGTCAAATTTTCGTGATTTCAAAAAATGCTCATATTTCGTTTATTTTTGAAATTAGAGAAATGCGGTTGATACGTTCTTAAGACACTTTTTTAAGTAGAATATACTGCCGTTGAAAATTTTTAAAAATATTTGATGATTTTTGAGATACAACACAAAGTTGTATTTTTTTAAATACAAACTATTGTAGATTATGGTGTTACTGAAAAGAGCATATTTTTAGCTTTCCAATGATGTATTGCACGCATTGTGTATTTGGGGAAAATAAGCGTTATTTTTTAATTCTAAAATATTAAAGATTAATATTCAAAATTTTAATTATAGTAGGAGAGGAAATCGTTAAATGCCACTAAGTTGCTATAGTAACGTGAGTTTCCTGATCATTTCATTCATGAATTTTTCGAGACGAGTTTCCCGCTTAAAAATTCCTCATTATCTTTAAATACATAAAGTGATAAAATTAAAATCCCATATAAACATCGTTTCAATGGAAAGTCCGCTGCCCAGTTTATGATCCCTAATCTTCCTCTATCTCACCCAATTTCAAAACAAAGGGTTGCTAATATGAAATAACTTCTAAATCTCATGGTTGGGGAAAACTGGGAAGATACTACCAAAGATTTCATTCATTGATACCCAACTATTCTAACCTTACAACCAGTAAGTTTAGTAGAAGAAGATGACACAGTCTGTGACTGTTTAGTTCCTGAAGTTGTTGTTCATATTTAATTACTCATTAATTAATACGTTTCTTGTATTTTTAATAAACAAACTTTATCTACAAATAATATTTTATTGGTGAACAAAGTCAGGGATAAGACACTGAGAAATTTAAATCAACTATTCAAAGTTTTTATTCGTTGGTACAAAACCAACTTTATCCTGCATAATGGTACAAGACCAACTTTCTGTCATATTCGTGCAAAACCATATAGCAATTAGGTAGTAATTACTGTCCGAACCCGCCTACTATAATCAAAATTTTGAACTTTAGCGCTTACTATTTTGGAATTGAAAATTAACGCTTATTTTCCGCAAATACACCATACATGCGATACATCATTGGAAAGCTAAAAATATGCTCTTTTCATTAACATCATAATCAAGTATAGTTTGTATTTAAAAAAATACAACTTTGTGTTGTATCTCAAAAATCATCAAATATTTTTAAAATTTTTCAACGGCAGTATATTCTACTTAAAAAAGTGTCTTAAGAACGTATCAACCCCATTTCTCTAATTTCAAAAATAAACGAAATATGAGCATTTTTTAAAATCACGAAAATTTGACTTTTTGGCTATAACTTAAAAACAAAAGAAGATAGAGGTTTGGTGTTTGCGGGATTGGCTTAGTCTCGAAAAAAGATACCGGGACATGGCACCTACTTTTTTCGTATCTCTTATAGTTTCTGAGATAGCCTATAATAACTTTGCCAATTCTTTCTCCAGATTCATCATTCAAATATTAGATATGGAAGAGAAGGAAAACAAAATAAAAACTACTACTAAATACATATCCTTGACTTTCAACCACAGCATAGAAAAAACAATTAATAAGATCTTAAGTCCACATAACATAACACCTGCTTTTAAAAGTTCGGCAAAGATAGGTAACATCCTAGCTAATAATAAACACAAATTCAATGTTCTTCAAAAAAGCGGTATATATAAAATCAAATGTGGAGATTGTGAGATGTTTTATGTGGGGCAGACTGGAAGATGCCTGGAAACCAGATACAAGGAGCATATCAATAAGGGTTCATCTAATTTTCATAAACATTTAAAGAAAGAAAATCATTCAACTAATAAAAACAATATTTCACTTCTACAACAAATTAACAAATCTAAACAAATGGATCTTTATGAAGAATTTTACATATGGAAAGCGGAAAGGGAAACGCCACTTCTTGTCATCAACGAGATTACCGACATTAACAAAAACAGATTATTCATAAGATGTGCTCAAGGGTTGACTGCCTAGGGTTCCTGCGGTGGGGAGGTTGCATGTTTGTTCCTTGCAGCCTCCGCACCGTCGCGATCCGGGGCGGTTTGCCTTTTTTCTTTTCCTTTTTTAATTTTGTTTGGAAAAGTCTTTTTCTTATGTTCAAATTCGTACAAATATTCAAAATTTAAACTGCGCTTGCGCGCGCATCTATTTTGCGTGTCAAATGTACTAATTGTAAGATTCGCAACGGTCCGTTATAACACAAGATGTCGACATCACATTAAGTTTAGTTTTAATTTTTTTTGGTTTTTTCAATTTTTATATATTTTCGGCCTTTTATTTCAAAATTTAAAAACTTTTCTATTCATTTCATATAAAATAATCATCTTAAATATCGTTTTTGGCCTTAAAATATTTAATACGTAATAGTTTTAAACATAACCTCAAATTTTACAGCGTGATTAAATAAGAAAATGTGTCTAACAGGTAATAACTTTAAATAATTAGTTAGTTTTTAGTATATATTTCTTAAGTAGTTTTCTTTCACTTTTCATCTTTGATTGTTAACAGATTTTTCAATACTTTTATATAACATTTCAAGTTTCAACATGTGGTCCAATTAATTGACGGTAATATATTTAATAAGTTTTCGTAAATTTCACTCCTCTTAATTTTTTGTAAATTCGTAGTTGTGTCCGAAGATGACTTCAGAGTCGAAACACGTGTAACACATAAAAATAAAAATTTATACGATTCATCTTTTAAGGCCAAAAACTGAAGTTTTTTTGTTTTCCTTCTCTTCCATAGCCTATAATAACACCCAAATTTGCCCACCCTGTACATTTACATCTTCCGTGATTTGTTTTGTATGTTTCTCTGCAATTTCAGCTGCTTTGCAACTACTTATACATTTGTTCAAGTCTAAATTTGGTTGTCTTAACAACCTTTCAGTCATTTTCTTTTCTTTCATACCACATACAATTTTGTCTTTTATGAAACTATCTCGTAAATTACCAAAATTACATGTTTTACTTAATTTTCTTAAGTCCGTTACATAATTGTCTATATTTTTCCCATCTTTTTGGTCCCTTGTAGAAAACAAGTGTCTATTTACTGACTCGTTTGTTGCTGGTATGAAACGATCTTGAAATATATCAAGTATTTTCGTATAATCACACTTATTCTCAGCCGATATCTCTAACGTATTGTATACTTCCACTGCCTCCGCTCCGAATGTATGTAATAAAAGGGCAACTTTCACTTCTCCTTCAATCTTCTTATCTGTTGCTACTGTTGAGGCAACCATATACAATTCAAATTGTTGTCTCCACTGTTTGAAATTATCAGCAATATCACCAACCATACACAACTCCGGAGGTTGATGTATGTTATCCATTTTTAGGTTAGGTGGGTTAGATTTCTTTATTTTTTCTTTTTTCCTTTTAAAAACTTTTTATTCGCTTTTTCCACGCAGCGCCATGTAAGGTTTACTTTATATTAAACCACAACTATATTTTATAATTGTTTATTAGTTACTTAGTTTTACTATAACCTCTCCATACTATACTTTATGTTTGTCATCTATAACTACGTCTTAAGGTGCATACACATCAAGCGAACGAATAGCGAACTCCGAACAACGAATGTTTGTTGTTCGTTTGTTCAACATTTGGAAGTTTGTACACACTAAGCACATGAATAACAAATCTGGCCACACCAACAACCGATTTTCTTTGATGTACCGCTCTCGGAGCGAACGCATGCGAAGGCGAACCAAACGTTCGATTCGCCTGTGTGTTAACGTACACATTGGTTGCATACGCTTTTGGTGTTCGGCATTCGTTCGCTGTTTGGTGTTCGTTCGCTTGATGTGTATGCACCTTTACTACTACCGCGCCATCTATGTAATACATATGACAGGCCGCCATGTCGGCCGACATGTTGTGTCCTTACGAAAACCAGGCTTAAGTAATATTTTTTTGTTGCATCGCATTCCAAACACAATATCGATAACGCATTTAAACGTTGTTGCGTCGTGGTAGATCCAAAATTATTTTTGATTTTGGACAATTTTGAGAACGACCTTTCCCGATGATGAATTAGCAACTGGAATCGCCAAATAAATACGCATTGCTATATCGAGATTTGTATATATTTCCTTTAACTCGCTTTCTCTTAAGTACTTAGAAATTGATTTTGATAAAAATCAAAATTAATCTTAATTAATATCATAATTAATATCATCAGTTTAGTGTGCAATAATATTAGATTCTGTTTTCCCTATCTTCCAATTTAATAAACATTCTATTGGTGGTTATTTTCTTAAAGACCACGTCAGGTAAGACAGAATTTAATAATTATTGTCTAGAATGAATGGATTTATGGTTACTAAAGACGTATTCCTATGAATTTTACCTCTTAACATTTCACAGAATATAATTTTCATCTAAACTACCTAAATTTTTATTTGATCTAATATTAATTGAGGTGACCATGGACAGAACACTTGCTTTCATTCTTTTTCTTTGCTCAAAGTTGTATCTCTTCCCATTTTTCTTGAGATATTTGGTTTTTTAACACGTTCGCTGCGATACCAGTGACAGGTATCTTGTTCAAATACACAGTACCAGGTAGATGTGTCTGGTGAGTGTTTTTTTCATTGCGTCGGTACCAGACACATATGCCTGGTATGTGTGTTCATTTTTTTCGTGGTTTTTATCAAAACCAGTGAAACCATCGAATTGTATTTTTGTGATTTTTGGTTCAGAATTATGACAAGAAAGATGGGTTCTAGTCGTAAAGAGCTAAACCAGAGGAATTTCAAAATATTGATAATTACATT